TACTAAGTTAATTATTAAAAAAGCTATAAAAAATCTATTTTTAAGCCCGGCTTAAATCTATATTATATATAAGTCTTATTCTTAAATATATCCTTTATAATATTATTATTTATAATTACTTAATAGTCCGCTAAACGGTTATTAGTTTTATTATTTTATAATCGTTCGTCCTATTTATTTATAGGTATTCGTTCTTTATTTTATTATATAATCGTAGTTACGTAACTTATTTATAGTTCTTTTGTCCCGAGAGGAGTTATTTTAAGTTCGTATTTATATATATATAGTATAGTAGCCGTTATAGGCTCTATAGGGTAGGCCCTGGCCTTATTATATATTAGGTCGTAATACTTAGATAGTTTAAAGATGTCTTTTTACGTTTTTAAAAAAGAGATAAAGTTATTTATATATATCTTTTTATTAAGAACTATAATTAATAGAACGTACTTCGTTCTATTAATTATAATATAAACGTAGTAATAGAGCGTTCGATATCCCTAGGTCGCTTTATTAATCGCTTTTTATTAATTAAGTATATATATATTAAAAAAGGGATCTTAGTTTCGTTCTATATAAAAAGAGAACGAATATTATTTAAAACGCTCTTTATAATTTAAATTTTAAGTAATTACTTTTAATAACTAATTTCTTAGCCTCCGGCTTTATTTAATATATTTATTATTTTTATAATTATTAAAAACGACCGTTTCGGAATTTTTAATTAGGTCGTTTACCTTTTTAGCTTTTTAATATAGGCTCGTTAATTAAGTAAAATTATCGGGGTTTAGTTAAGTAAAAAGGTCTTTTTTATAAGAGTATATAGGAATTACTTTTTTTATTTATATATATATTATATTTTTAACCTTTTTAATAAAAGGGTCGGTTTCCTTTATAGCCTTGTTTATAACCTCGGTTAACTATATAAAGGCCGGGCCTAGTTCTAGACTTTAAAGTTTAGGAATTAGTTTAAGAATAAATAGTTATTTATTTTATTTATTTAAAAATAAACTAGACTTTTCTATAGTCTAGTTTACTTTTTATAGAGCGAGCGTAGGTAGTAATAGGTACTTTTAATTTATTATTAATAAACCTTTTTTTTTATTTATAACTCTAAATAGTTAAAGTTTAGGATTAATAATTATAAACGGCTATTAAATTTTATTTACTATAGACTTTAATTTAAGTAATTAAATTATAGTTTTTATATCGTTCTTTTAAATAAAAAGTAGTTTTATTAAACGTTACGTTATATATAATAATAACCTTTAAAAGCGAGGGGATTTAGATCCTATATAAATTATAAGCGTTCGTTATATATTTTATAAAGTATTTAATATAACCCCTTTATTTTATTTTAAAACGTCTTTTATTAATTCCTTTTTTATAATCCTTTTTAAAAGGGTACGCTTAGTAGCTATATATATACGTCTATTTTTAATAAAGACGTAAATCGCGGGTAAACCTTAGTATATTTATTAGTTATTACTATTTAAAATAATAACTAAACTAGATTTCTTTAATTTAAATTAATAAAAGCTAGTTAGTACGTTATTTTAAGCTAATATTATATAAATAAATAGCTATTAATATAGCTTTTATTTAGAGTTCGTTTAATAAACTAGTTACGGATATTATATTAATTACTTTATTAATAATTTTTTAGCTAGCTCGCTTTTTATTTCTATTTAGCTTTTTTATATATAGAGGGGTAATTTCTAATTCAATTCCGAGTTCCTTTATTTAAATTTAAAAGCGAGTCTCGCTATTAATTACGATTATTATACGTTCTACGTTTTATCGGATTTTATAAATAATAAAACCTTTTTAAATACGTATTTATTATTTAAAAAAAGTATAAAACCCTAAATACTAAGTTATAAGTCTTTATAACTTTTAAAAAAACAAAGATTTTATTTAAATACTCGTCTTTAATTAATATAAACTATTTATTTTATTTATAAATAAATAGGTAATTAAATAGGTCCTAGGTAATTTTAAAATATAGCCTAATAGCTCTTTACTCTAAAATACGTTTTAAAATAACCTATTTTATATAAGTAGTTATATAGTATTAATATTCTAAATAACTTAGTCCCTTAATCTTTACCTCCCGAGCGGCTAATATAAGTTTTTTAAATACTATTAATATAAAATATTTAGATTATAAGTATTAAAGCTATATAGAGTCTAACTAGTTACCCTTTATTTAATATAAAGAACGAAATACGTATTAGCCTTTAATAGAAATTATATTTATTAACGAAGACTAATTTCTAAATAGAAAATAGGACGAATAGGGTTTATATTTTAAAAAAACTAAGTTAACCTTTTTAACGAGCTATTTAATTATAACGTTATTAAATTAATTACTAAAGCAAAGGGTATAGTTAAAACTAAAGTACTAAATACTTATTTTTTAAAATAAAGCTTTTAATACGACGTTAATATAAAAGTTCTTAACGAAGCTAATATTATAAAGGGTTAGATCTTTAGTTCTAAATCCTTTTAATCCTATAAAGATATTTTAAATAATCCTCGTCCTATAAATAAGTATTAAATAAAACGCTGTTCCTAAGTCTATATTCTCGGTCCTATTATATTATTAAATTAATCTTAGCTCTAAAAGCGATTAATTATTAATAAAGTAGACAGTACCGTAGTTATTTATAATTATATATTTAAAAAGGAAGTATAGACCTATAAAAGGAATTAAAAAAATAATAAAATTACTATTTTAATTCTCTTTCGTTTTTAACTTAGGTAATAGAGCGACGTTAATAATTATAGCTATAACGTTTAAAGAATAAGACGTTTTAAAATCCTATTTATTTACTAGCTTTCCTTATTTTCCTAGCTTTTTACTCTTTTTTTAATTATTATTAAAGGATTTTTTAAGGGCCCTCGTTTATATTTATCCTTTATAAACAAAGTCGGTATAAAAATCGGTATATTTATTAATATTTAAATAGTAAATAATTTTATTAACCTCGGCTCCGTCTAGCTAGATATATTTTTATTTCGTTTTTTTTATAAAAGCGTACTCTATTTTTATATAGTTTATTAGTTTTTAATAATAAAACCCTTTATAAAAGTAGTCTATAAACGAGTTAGGCTTACCCTCGTTCTATTTAAATAAATCTAAACGACTTATAAATATTATAAAAATTATATAGTTTTTTTTATAACTTTTATTATATACCGCCTCTTTATATAAAAGATCGTTAAATATTTCAGTATAATAGCCTATATTAAGCACGACTTTACCTTTTTATTTTATTTTTATAATATTAATAAGCTTTTAATTTAACTAATTTAGGGCAAAGCGACGCACAATAATATAAAAAAAAAATTTAGAAGCGAGGGTCTTTTAAACTTTAAATAATTTAAGTTATATTATATAATAATAAACGGAATAGAAGTCTTTAATTTAAGTTATTAAATTAATATTAAAGTTCGCCCTATTTATAACTATATTAAATTTCTTTTAAATAATTATAAACGAACTTAAGTTATTTAGAGCGTACTTTTATTTAAAAACCTAGATTATTATATAAAAAGAGTAGTTTAATAAATTAATAAGTTCTTTTTTTATATTCTCTAGGATATCCTAAATAATAAAGTTAGTAATCTAGTAATTTATTAATTTATATAATTTCTTTTTTTATAACCGGGAGATCGTTTTAAATACCGTTTACTAAATAAAAAAAATTTCTTTTTTTAAAAAGCGCGTTTAATTAATTATAATTAGCTTAGGTTTTATTAAGAAAGTTAATTATTTTATAAGTTCGTATTAAAATACGAGTTCGGCCCTAGCTATATTTTTAAGGGTATTTTATTAAGTATATTAATCGAGTTATTAATTATATTTTATTAAAGCCGCTTTATAAATTTATTTTTAAATAGTATTTTGTATTTTAATGTATTTTTTAATTAATAGAATCGATTTAATAAAGAATAAAGGATTTAAAAGTAACTTTATATTATTTAAATTAAATAAATCCTAAATATTTTTTAAATAGGCCTCGATTTATAGAGCAAAGTACTATTTTAGCTAGTTACGTTAATAGTTAAGCTTATACCTAATTATATTAAATATCTTTTTAAAAAATATAGTTATTTAAAAACGGGTTTTATAAACATAATAAAAGTTAAAATTAAATATAAAAAAGGATATAATAAATCGTAGCCTTTAAAAAGTAACTTTTTAATAGAGGTTTAGGGTCTAAATTAGAGCTAGGTTTATAATTATTATATAATTATAATAGGGGTATCGACGTTAAATATAGAGAATAGTTATTTATTAAAAGTAAGAAATAGGTATAAAGCTCGCCCTAAAATAGAGGGTACGAGCGAGTATAGAGCTCGGTAATTATATAACCGAGGTTACGTGACATATAGTAAGGCCACGGATGGTTAAAGCTATTACGACAGGAAAAGAGCTCGCTGTCGCCCGAGATCAAATCCGGATGACGATTGGCTACCTTAAGACTTTGGGGCAAGTGTGGCCCAGAACAGCCAAGAACGTACAGGAGATCCAGACGATTGCTCAGCATGTACTTGGTCTCAAATCCAGGGTGAATGGGGAGAAGACTGCCCCAAATACTGCCGGAAGTCTCGCCGTGTCTGATAAAGGCGGTGCGGGGAATGTGAATTTCCAAACCAATATATCAAGTAGCGAGAATGGGGTGCTCGCCTCGCTGAGCGCCATGGACGATGTTTGCGGCTGGTATAACATGGAGGATCTTGGTCCGGAGCTTTCACAATGGGTGCATAATGACATCTAACTGTGTCTACTTAGGTCTCAAAGAGGGCAGTGTCAAAACGAAGCTTCTCTAGAGGATTTCCATGCGAAATTTAGTGGGAGTCCTCGAGCGAGAAATCAACGAAGGCATTGGGTGTCCACGTCGCACAGCTAATTGAGTACAGTGAGACTTAGCACTGTTGAAACTGGATCTTTTATGATGCTGTTAAGTAACAAGATTCCTGTGTATATATATTTACTAGAACTCAATGACAACTTTATGACCCCTTCCCCTCTGCCGGGCACTCTCCCAAGCTTGATCAGCCTCTGTAAAAGGGAATGATTTCACCGCCAGAGCTTTCAAGGCGCCCGCTTCAACCATCTCAGATGCTCTACACAACCTCTCAGCATTGGGAGATACAATAAAGTACTTGTATCGAACTCCAGGCCTTCTAGATGAATCCTCCGGTACAACATCTTCGAAAGCCCAAGTAGGCGGTGGATCAGCAACAGTGATAATCATCCCGTCCTCAGCCACGACCTTCCATACATCGCTCAGGACACTCCCGCCAACTGTGTCTATGACAACATCCACACCACCGACTGTGGAGGTCCAGCCTGGGTCATTGTAATCCAAGACTTCGGCGCCTAGCTGCTTCAAGTTCTCATGATTTCGCGATGAAGCCAGCGCAATGACACGAGCACCGCTAAGCTGGGCAACCAACTGAACCGCAAGGACGCCAACGGCACCAGAGGCCCCGGTGACTAGAACTATCATATCTGCAGTAATCTCCCCATGATCAATGGCAGCCTCCCATGCCGTCAGTACTGGTATCGGAAGTGCTGCTGCCTCAAGATGAGAGATGCAAGTCGGTTTCGGAGTAACCTCGTCTGGTGAGCAAGCAACATATTCAGCTTGGCATTGTCCACGGTCTGCCGATGTGAATGCATAGACATCTTGGCTGACGGAAAGGCTCCCGGTGTATTCTGGGCCGAGTTCTGCGATAGTTCCTGATAGCTCGTGGCCGGGAATCCGGGATGCGGTTTCGTAAAGCTCGGGCCAGCTGAGTTCATCGCCAGTAACTCCGGCAGCGTGAACCCGGACCAGGATGTTGGCGCCTTCAGGTGAGGGCTTTGGTATGTTTGTATTGAGAGTGATTTTGGGAGACTTTTCGTCACCCATGATCTGGACTGCTTTCATCTTATTTGCAGGGGTCTCTCGGAGCCGAGGTTGTTGTGTGAGTGAAGGGTCGCTGAACAAGGGAGGAACGAGAGGCAGGTGCTTTACGTGTGAATTGCTTTTCCGTGCTACATAAAAGCACTTGTTGTATAGCGTAAGGTAGCTTTTGCGACTGTTTTCATCTGCGAATTTGAGTACGATTCTGCTGGCTTTATCCCTCCGGCATTGGCTGATGCTGCTCCCGTGAATCCGTTCGGGGGGAAATTCGTTAACGACGCTTGCGGGTACCCGCAAGTACGTACCATCCGCCCGGGTATCCGTGAACTCGGGTATCCACTTCCCCGATAGCAGCGACCCGGGTCGGGCTTCTGCAAAATGGAAGATGGGGATGAGCTAGCGGCAACTTCACCAATTGTGTACGGCGCTCGTGCTCAACATATTTGATCAGAGTGTCTTCAAACCAATATAGTTGTTTTCACTTGAGTCACACGAACAGGAGAAGACATATTAAAGACTATAACCAAGTCATTCTATAGATCGAATCGAAGAGACCGACAGCTAGGTCGGTTAAATGGTACAACGCCCTTTGACATGTATTAGTACGGATTGACTCAAACATGACTCGACCACGCGAAACAGTCAAAGTCCTATACGACTACGAACTGGCAAACGCTGAGGGAAAATCGATAGTCGGCCTCGAAGTAACCTACCCACCCAACAGTACCACCCCTCCCCGTCAACACGCAGGCGCCACTGTGGTAGTGAATGTCATCGAAGGCAAACTTCTGAGCGGCATGAACGGGGATCCGCCCAAGGTGTACGGAGTGGGGGAAAGCTTCATGGAGCTGCCCAGGTGTCATCATACGGTGGGAGAAAACCCCAGCAGCGAAAGTCGTGCGGTACTTGTTGCCGTCTTCATCGTGGATACTGAGGTTTTGACATCGGGCTACGATGGGCTTACTGTGCTGGACGAGGGGTATTGAATGATGGTATGCCCAGGCAGAAGTGTCATACAGAAGCTATGAGTCGGGTACCACTTCAAGACCGCATCATGGTGCGGTGACACTGACGTTACTGTAGTCATGAAACGTGAATATTAGGAGGTATATTGTACAGACTGGTGCGGATCGTAAACGCTACAATAGCCGTCTCTCAAACAGCCCAGTAAATCTCAACCTTGACGCTCTCCACGTAGTTGGCCCAGCCACCAAACCTCGCCTTACCCCATACCGTGACCACATCTCCCAGCTTCAAGTTACGAACAAACTTTCCAGTCCCGGTGCCCTTGCCTCGACCTATCTCAGCTAGTCGGTCGGCTTCGGGCGACTCTGGGTGGATGTCGTCGGTCCAGGACCATACCACCTCGTGGTCCATAAAGTCCCTGTTAGCAGTCTTATTGGTTTGTATCTTGAGATTCTCGAGCGGGTGCATATCATGGGAGTAGGCGAGCTTCCCGTCGGCGGTCGGTAGGACGGGAGGATATATCGACTGAAGGCCGCAGGTGCACAGGTTCGTTTCGCTGATGACGGGCGCCTCTTCGGACTCGCTATCCGAGCTTTCCGCTGCTGTCTTGCAGGATCCATCGCCTGTTTCGTTAGTATTAGGCAGGGTTTCATTCCGTGAGAAGAAGGGTAGCTTACAGGTACGCTCCTTGTCGAACTTCTCCAAGCCAGCCTCGAACCAGGACCAAGATCCTCGGTAGGACCCACGATCGCCGTGTCCACCGCCCCAGCCCTGATCTTTGCTCCGCAACTTGAAGACGATCTTCCGCACCGGGTGGGTCAGAGTGGGCGGCGCCTTCATGGACCCTGTGAAGTATTCTCTCGGAGCCTCGGAGACGATCTCGGTGGGGCTCGACGTGGGTTCGAGAAGCGTCAGGTTGCGGAGCGGTTCCGTAACGGGGGACCCATCGCCCGACTTGGGCGGGAGCGGCGCGGTCTTGAATGCAGAGCCGACCTTTTTGAAGTCGAGGAATCCGATCGGTGGACACCGCAGGATGAACTTGTTCTCGTCTCTGGTGGTACCTACGACTCGGAGGGCATCGCGGAGGGGGGTAACTGCGTGGTAGATGCTGGCTTCGGAATGCGGCCAGTATTCGGCCTGGTCGATGATGAGGTCTAGGATTTCGGGAGGGAAGTTGAAGGCCTTTTCGAGCATGACGCGGACGACGATGACATCGACGTGCGAGGGCTTGTAGTTTCCGGGCTCCTGCGGGCTCGGCCCGGAGTAGCCGTCTTGTGTGTCTGATTGCATAATGCCGACGGCTCTAGCGATGATGGCACCGGCTGCTACTGTTGCAAACGTTCCGGCGTATTGTTGGAATTGGGAGAAGAAAGACATGTACGGGTACACGAGAGAAATTATCTGGGGAATGTAGAAAGAGGAATAGTGGGAAGAGGGGTAAGAAGATATGAAGGCGCCGGTTTCGTAGGAATCTCGTGGTTGTGGTACAAAAGTACGTGTGGAGGCGACGTCAGCTCATGGCAACTCCAAAGGTTCATTTCGGGGTCGGTGCACGGAGGCCTGCAGCTAAAATTGACGTCAGTGGGGAGGTGGATTCGATGGTGGGGTTTGCGAAATGTCACTGACAGGACCCCTGCTCGAGACGATAAGAAGTTCTTATCGATGATCATCACGTGAAATTACACCATCGCTAGCCACTGGCCGAAGACAATGGGTCGTCACCGGAGGAGCTCCCGCTTACAAACCGACAGCCGATGGCGTCGATATTTCTGTCGCAAGTGACCTGAAAGATGGTCGTAGACTTTTCATAATTCCCAATTGTCAATTTTTGTCCGTATTCGTCGCGATGAAGTGCCAAAGAATCGCCTCGCAGGCCCTTCGCCAGGCCCGCGCACCAGCGTCGCGCGTCCAAGCTCCCTCCGTTTTCCGGAGCTCCAAAGTCGCAGCCGCTGCTCCTCTTGGCAACCGACAATGCGCCCACCAATTCCACTCCAAGCCGGCGCGGAAGGCTTCGAACAGCACCGGCGATGCGTCGAACCCGGCAATGGCATTCCCATGCCTTGACGCCCTCGAGAACCGATCCGCGAGCCTCGAGGCACGATACGAATCGAGCGGCCCCGAGCCGTCTTATACCGCCGGCGCAACAGAGATATATTACTGCAAGGATCCTCTCCTTCTCGACTGGGGCGGTGTTCTACCTGAGTTCGATATCGCATATGAATCATGGGGCAAGATGAATGCCGACAAGTCCAACGTCATTCTCTTGCACACTGGCCTCTCGGCGTCGTCTCACGCCCATTCGACAGAGAGCAACCCCAAGCCCGGTTGGTGGGAGAAGTTCATCGGACCGGGTTTGGCTTTGGACACCGATAAATACCACGTCATCTGCACAAACGTAATAGGAGGCTGTTATGGCTCAACAGGACCGAGCAGCATCGACCCAGCAGACGGACAGCGGTACGCGACAAGATTTCCCATCCTGACCATGGAGGACATGGTGCGTGCGCAGTTCCGCCTCCTAGACGGCCTCGGCGTAGATAAGCTCTACGCCAGCGTCGGCTCGAGCATGGGCGGCATGCAATCGCTCGGCGCAGGCGTCCTCTTCCCGGACCGCGTCGGCCGGATCGTCTCCATCAGCGGCTGTGCCCGATCACACCCCTACAGCATTGCGATGCGCCACACGCAGCGGCAGGTGCTGATGATGGACCCGAACTGGAACAGAGGGTTCTACTACGGTCGGGTGCCGCCGCACGCCGGGATGAAGCTCGCGCGCGAGATTGCGACTGTCACGTACCGCTCGGGGCCGGAGTGGGAGCAGAGGTTCGGCAGGCGGAGGGCGGACCCGAGCAAGCCGCCTGCGCTGTGCCCCGATTTCTTGATTGAGACGTACCTGGACCATGCGGGTGAGAAGTTCTGCTTGACATACGATCCTAATAGTTTGCTCTATGTCAGCAAAGCGATGGATCTTTTCGACTTGGGGAGGGAGAACCAGGTCGCTGCCAACGCAAGGAGAGCAGAGCGCGAGAAGCTCCTCCAATCTGGAGAGTCGCCAGCGCGCAACGATGCCGCCTGCAGTCTCACGCTGCCCGAGAAACCCTACGTGGAGCAGCCAGAGTCCAACGCCGGCGCCGCAGATCAGCCCGTCGAAGTCTCATCCAGGCCCCCAGAAGATCTGATCGCAGGCCTCGCACCTCTCAGAGATACCCCTGCTCTCGTGATCGGCGTGGCGAGTGACATCCTCTTCCCCGCGTGGCAGCAGAGGGAAGTAGCCGAGGCCTTGAAGCTCGCGGGTAACAGGAACGTTGCGCACTACGAGCTGAGTGAGGAGATGAGTTTCTTTGGACACGACACGTTCCTGTTGGATCTCAAGAATATTGGCGGGAACCTGAAAAACTTCCTAGGATGAATTCTAGGATGAATCAGCGAGGACAAAGGCTAGTGGTCTAGCGAACGGGGACATGTAAAAAGTTGTTGGAGTTGAGGAAAAATTACTACATGAAATAAGTCTTATGGGAATGTTCCACTTGCATATGTAGCCATGTATAGCATCCAGGCAGGAAAAGCATTGACGATTATTAACAGTTGGTGTGGTTCTCTTCATCTGCGGGCTTTCCATGCGGCCGGCGTTCGGTCTTCTAAGAAGCTAACGACATACTTCGTCATAGCAATACCCAAACGCACCCAAAAAAGAGTTCACCACCGGTGTGGCTACATCTCCTAGCGATTATGATGGTGCTCATTCTGGAATCGTATGCGGACTCGAACTCGTAGCCAGTCAATTAGGCTGTTAGGGGGTACTGTCGGCTTTTCAACCATTCCACCACCCAGCCAGTTTGTCATGACCAACCGACCTAGGAAGGCGCGTGCTGTTGCTGGTGACAGGAATGAGATTGAAGGGGTATATATACGCTCCTTGCGCAGTTTCAGTCATCTAATGTCGAAGGACCGGTCAGCCAGTACCTTGCAGTCTAGATAATGTCGCTCCCCTCAGGATGATTCAGGATTGTGGCACCATTGCTCGTAGTGCAAGGCTTCAGATGAAGAGGGAGGGAGCTTTGTGGACCATAGACACCTCACTTACCTCTACACATCGTGGGCTAAATGCTCTAGCGGGTGTCTATCTGAAGTAAATAATGCGGTAATCAAGGACCTAACAACGCAAGAACAGAGGAAGATAAAGATATCAAATGGCGGGTGGGGCCTAATAGGCTTGCGAATTGAGCATCAGATGTGTTTAATAGAGCCTTCGTTGATCAACGGCTAGCTAGCCCCCAGGTTGTGCAGGGGTAAGCTATACACAACCCCTGGTCAAAGCTCTTCCGGCAGGCACTACCGTAAGTCGGAGGAGGCCCCGCCAGTCCCCTTCATTGGTCTGACGTCAATCAATTCACCTTCATCAACACACCACAATCATCTCAATGAAATGAGAGCAGTCGCGCTTGTTTTTCGACCATCCTGTCTCAACGCGAGACTAAGAGCGAAGGATTTTCGATCAGCTCATATACGACCAGGCATTCCAAACGCACATCCAAAACTCATCGCCCGAACCATGTCGTCAGTCACATTAAAGGAGAGCGGCATCCAAGTCAAGCTACCCGATGGCCTATCAAAAGATCAACTTCTAGGTTTTCGACCTTTCAACGTGTGAAGCTACTCCCAGTTCTTCGCCTTTAAAGATCAGAAGCAGAGCTGACCGTCGAGCTAGGATTGGGTCAAGGGCCTCAACAACTCTCTAAGCCTGCAAGCCAAGAGCAAAGACCACCCATTTCACCAAGACCCCTACGGCCTACGAGGTATCACAGTTCAGGCCTTTGACATCTTTGGGTCCGGCCGCGTCGGTTTCCTTAAGATCAGGGCGGACGTCAAGAACGAGGCGGGAGAGTGTCTCCCAGCCAGCATCTTCCTTCGTGGACCCAGCGTCGGCATGCTGGTGATGCTCATCCCCGACGACGCGCCGCCCAACAGCAACGAGCGCTACGTCGTCTTGACGGTGCAGCCCCGTGTGCCGGTCAGTAGTCTGTCATTCGTGGAGTTGCCTGCAGGCATGGTCGACGACAGCGGCAGCTTCGCCGGCGCCGCGGCAAAGGAGATCAAGGAGGAGCTGGGCTTGGAGATTCACGAGTCGAAGCTGACGTGCTTGAGCGAGCTGGCTGGCGCGGGCAGATCAGGTGGGAATGAAGCCGAAGAGGGCTTGGCAGAGGCGATGTACCCCTCTGCCGGCGGCTGCGACGAGTTCGTGACACTGTATAGCCACGAGAAGAGGATCCCTCGCGAGCAATTGAAGGAATGGAGTGGCAAGCTGACTGGCCTACGGGATCACGGGGAGAAGATCACGTTGAAGCTTGTGCCTATGAAGGATCTGTGGCGAGAGGGCGCGCGGGACGCAAAGTGTCTCGCGTCGCTGGCTCTCTGGGAGGGACTCCGACGCGAGGGCAAGTTATAAGTTGTGGCGGCACGATAAAGCGGGTAACAAGTCTAAGGCATGCAGCATCACTATAGCTTGAATTTCTTTGCTAATTCGATGCCTTCGGCAATGGTCCCCACGCGAGCGTCGATGGCGTAGCCTTCCTTCTCGAGACGGACGCACTCTGCCCAGAAATTCGATAGCGGCACCGTGAAGACCTCGATGAATTCTCCTTCTTCCAACTCGGCCTTTGGGTTTTGGTTTTCGGGGAGAGACGTGTCGATGGTGACGTGAATCATGCGGAGGTTAGTGTTGCAGAAGCCGGGGTCTTGGAAGTAAATCGACGTTAGATCCACCAGAGCCATAGGGTGAATTGACCTGGTTGAGATGTAACATACCATTGAACATGATCGGCGTGGTCTCAGACACCTTCCCAACGTATCCCGTCTCCTCCTTGAGCTCGCGCACGGCAGCCTGCTCGGCCGTCTCGCCCTCGTCGACGAGCCCCGCGGGGACCTCGATGCAGATCTTGTCAATGGGCGGACGGTACTGCTTTTGGAGGATAATCTCGGGGCCGGTGGACTTCTCGAGGATGGCGACGATGCCGACGCCGTCAATCTCGCCGTTCTTGGGGCGGGTGCGGCGCTCGGCGGATTCCCAGGTGCGAGCGTTACCGTTCTGGTCGTCGTAGTTGATCTTGATGAGCTTGATCCAGCGAGCCTCGCCCTCGCCCTGCGGTTCTATGGGTCAGATAGGGTACAGAATAGCAGATCGCCTAGAGTCAGTTGCGTTGGCTTACCAGAAGGCCGGTGGCGGTCACTTTCGCAGACATTGTGGACGTGTTGATGCTAACGTAAGGTACCTTAGGCTTGGAGTTGAGGTGAGGCGTCGGAGCTTCGGCGGGATGGCGGGGTAGCTTTTGTCACTGCCGCCCTGGGCTGGCTGGTGCTCGCGACCCCGCGGTGGTCACCTCACTTAGTCATCAGGGAGCTCTTGCCTGCGTAACGCTTTTCACCTGAGTACCCCGAGGAAGGCAGGAAGTAACCAGTATCAATTTCGAACGACAGATGTTCGACTATCATCATTAAATTTGGCTTGAGTTCCCTGCCCGCGACGAACGGCCGAATAGAGACTTTTCCAAACAATGCGTCTAGACAGAATGTCGACCACTCATTCAGTCTCACAGCAAGGATCCTGGAGCGTCCAACAACGGCAATAGTGACGTCTCTTCCGCCCTCTGAGACGTTTTGTCTTGCGATAAGAATTGAACAAGAACGGCCTCGGTCCGAGAACGCTATCTTAGCCTCGAAAGGTAGCATTTTATTTCGACGTTCCTGGACGCGTCACCACGTCAGTCGCTAATAAGCTTTTGACCACCGTCCCAAGTCTGAAAATGTCCAAGGGATCCCTGCCCGAAAAGTACTCACCGGGTCGAAGTGGGTTTTACGATTATGGACGTTTGGACGAACCTCCTATCCACAGATCGTCGGAGAGTCCTCGGAGAAAGCTTTCAAAAGGCTCGTCCGAGAGGGAGAGAACGAGGGAACGAAATCGTTATCGCTTCTGGAAGGGCACGCACGACGTCAAGGTCAACCAACGAGCAAACTTGCGTCTTCGGGCTTCAATTGCGCCGACGAGTGTAAGACGCACGAGGCCCTTGACGTTACGTTCCCACCGCGACTAACTGCATGCGCTACGGTATTCCGTACGCAGGCAAGGACGCGCCGCCTGGATTACCAACCGGTCGGATTCAGCCCAAACGACCACTAGTGTCAACGCCGTACGGATGCGTACTTGCGCCAGACATAACAGGCCAGCGAGGAACATCACTGCAAGTTTGGATCGGGCCACGATAACGTGTTATCATAGAACCTCCCTTGTCATGTCTATCAAATTGGAGGGGAGTCTCTGTGATGTCCAGCAGGCAGTCTGACTCGCATTTGTCGTTGATTCAGCGTGCCCACAGGGACTGGCCAACTTGGGCGGTCCACGACCAGGGTCCAATTCCTCCGTATTACAGTTGAAGGTCGCCGACTGGTTAGCCACGCGACGCTTGCATCCCCTTCATCGACCTTCCTCTCCGGGAAGGATTGACCAATACACCAGCCTCGGCACCGCGCCTGGTTATACTTCAGACTGTGGCTTCAACGCAGACTTATACTTCTTCATACTTCCTTGAGATGTCCAATTTTTCTTTCTTTTGTCGGCTTCTCTGTCTTTTCTAAACACTCTTTTAGTCGTCACGGACGACATATGTTCCAAGATGGCACCCACTAAAGCACTTGACGACCGCAATGGCGACATCGAAAGCAGGCCTGAAGAAGAGACGCCGTTATTGTCACACGATTTGCCACCCACAGTCGCTCCGAGCCGGAGATACCAGCTAAAGGTCATTGGTCTGGCAATGACCTTTATTCTTATCGTTGAAGTTGGCGCCTATCTTCAGATCCCGCCTTCATATCAGCTTATGGAAGAAATCATCTGTCGCCAACGCTATCCTAATCACATCATTTCGGCGGAGGACGACGATGTATGCAAGGGCCCGGATGTACAGGGTCAGCTAGCCATGATCAAAGGCTGGCAAAACTCATTCGACTGCGTCCCATGTATGTCTCACTCTCTAACCTTGATTATCAGCACCGGCTAATTTTTCTATTTGCAGCATTGCTCACTGCGATTCCCTACGGTGTTATTGCAGACAAGTATGGCCGCCGACCAGTCCTGTCCTTGGCCATGCTCGGTATCACTCTAGAGCTCGCCTGGATGCTACTGCCCCGTAGGTTATGAAATACCTGTTCTACCGGTAAACTATGCTCATTGACGACAGTTCTGTGGCCCAACGTTCTCCCTCTCTGGACTATGTGGTTCGGAGCAGCTTTCCAATTCATAGGTGGAGGCGCAGGCATGATTCAAGCCATGACGTGGACCATGATCTCTGACGTTGTCCCCATTTCCAGCCTGTAAGAATCGTCCACTGCCAATACCAGGCATTCAGAAGCTCACATGTGATAGGACCGCGGTTTACTACAAGATTGGCGCAATCGCGCTTGCGGGAGAGCTTGTAGTTGCACCTCTCAGCGCCTATCTCTTGAGCAAGAACCCATGGCTACCTCTCAGCGTCGGCATGGTCCTCTTAATTATCGGCACCTGCCTGCCGCCATTCATCCCAGAGACCCTGGATCTCCGCCGCGCCGCCGATCAAGAAGTCGAGCAGACACTGTCGCGGTCCGAAGAAGATGCGAGGGACAAGCGCACACTCAAACAGCAGATCATCTTCGCCGTGAAGAACGACATGGGCCATGTCTACACCTTTTTGATCAAGTCCAAGAGCGTGATTTCCCTTGTCCTCGGCTTCAACCTTACAGTTATAGTGAAATATGTCAAGGTAGACATCATGTCGCAATACGTGCACAACTTGTTGGGATGGTCTTGGGCAAAGGTAAGTGGATGTCGCGCCGTCTCAGTCATACACCACATGGTTCGTTATCTAACGAAGCTTTGCGACATACAGGCAACGCTCTTGGGAACCGTCTCAACCGTCACAAACATGGTCATGCTGCTCGCCATTCTCCCCGCGCTGAGCTGGCTGATCACCAAGCGTACGGGGGTGCATCCTTTGGTTCGGGATCTCTGGCTCACCCGAATGAGCGGCATCCTCCTGGCTGTCGGGTGCTTCATGGTGGCCATTGCATTCGCGCCTTGGTTCTTGATTACTGGTATGTTTTCCCTCTTCACTAACCACCTGCGTCGGGCTGGCTCCGCTCCTCAGACACCCAGATATGCTGACCTTTCGTATAGCCCTCATCATCTTCTCCATGGGCACCGTTTACACAAGTATCTGCCGAGCGATCCTTAACGCCGTAGTCGAACCGCATACGATCGGTACACTAAACACGGCCATTACCTGGGTGGAACAAGTGAGCTTACTCGTTTCGGCCCCGGTAATCTCGGGCTTGCTCAAAGCTGGCAACTCGGCAGGAGGCATATGGCTCGGCCTGCCGTACATGGCTGCAACTGTCATGGCTATTGGTGGCACTACGATTGCGTTTGCCTATCGTTTGCCTAGAGACAAGATTCGATAAATATCTACCTTGTTGTTGTCTAGAGGGATAGACGTCGATCCCCGGTATACATGCCCATTAGAATATAGAGAGATGTACGAACCAAACACAGTTCTCCTCAATTTCCCTGTTTACAAAAGTCCAAAGGTAAATTCGTCAAGATGAAAAAGTTCCTGCGAGTTAAAAAGGGAAAGGGCAAGATTCGAGGTCATTGATGGACGGGAATCTACACCAATGGGCATTTGCTGACCATTCCAAGTTACCTGCCCGTATTCCCGGTCTTGACCCGTGCCGTCCGCCACCACCATAGGGCCCATCCGATAGCGATAAGAGCTCCAAACGCCCGAGCACGACGCTGAGGGATGGCGGGGGTGGGGTCGCCGCATGATGTAACGGCGAAGCGAACCAACGACTTTTTTGTGAGTCGCCGGCGAGGCAGAGACCATCCATCCACACATATCCCCTGCTTTGCGTCACTCTCTAGGCTACGCTTGCATTTTGACCGAGATACAAATCTAGAGCCCCCCTACTCATACGCGATTCATACCTCACACGCTTGTCGTATACTCCTCTCTCTTCGACAGTACGATAGACGGCAACTCTCACCGCACGACCAGACTTTTTCTCCCCGCCATCCCCGCTCACCAACCCCGCCAACCTGCCCATCATAGGCCGCCGACGCCGCGAGAAACACCCCAAGGGCCGGCCCAACTCCAACCGACCGCGGAAGAAGATGGGTAACGAGGAGTCGACGATGCTGGATGACAGCGTCCAGCCCAAGACGCTTGAGTCGCGCTCGCTGGAGGCCATTGCTGATTACATCAAATCCGGCGATGTCAAAAAGATTGCCGTCATGACCGGCGCTGGCATCTCTACAGCCGCTGGCAGTATGCACTCTACCTTGATGGTACTTTGATTTCAGGATTCTGCAAGTTTCTAACACAATCACCACCCAGTCCCCGACTTCAGATCACCCGG